TTAGTTTTAGTTTTGGGGGAGTGAGGTACACTCAATCAAGATCCTATGGTTTCGTCATCTCGGGTATACTGTTGGTTCAATCTACCAACATTAACAATCATTGATTGTAGTGTCTAGGGAATCTGATTAGCAGCCATGGGTTACCTCCTCTCAGAGATCCCGAGCAAACTGAAGTAAAGATGTGTGGATTATAATTTAATTTAATTTGGGTTGGGACTTATGTCTCTATTTAACAGTGGCCCGTATAACTAGATTTGGTTAGGGGCTTATAGCTTTCATTTGAAAGTAGCCTTATGGGTCTTACGACCTCTATTAGAAGTGACCCAAAGATTTTTATTTGAATAGGTCTTATGGCTTCCTTATAAGTTGCCTAATGATAGGTCATACGACCTAACCCTATAAGCTAAGTAGCCCATATGGTTGGTCTTACAACTTAGCCCTTATAGACATGAATGCCCGGGTGAAGGGTCTAGGATTATGTTATTACCAAAATATTTTTATCAGGGATTAGACTTACGACTTCTATTAGAAGTGACGGGCTGGAGGATCTTACAACCCAGTTCTTATAAATAAGGCTGCTTAAGTGGTTTGAGTTTTAGGTCTAGGGTTGTACATTTTGAAGTTCCCTAATACGTGGGTCTTACTACTTTGCTTAGAAGTAGCCAAAATAGCAGGTCTTACAATTTAGTCCTATAGGTCAAGATGCCCAGTTAAAGGGTCCAAAGTTAGGTTGCTTCCTATCTATTACCCCTAAAGACTAGACTTACAGTTTTCATTGAAAGTAGCCAGTTGAATTTTAGGCATTTATTAGTTCACTTTGTTTAGTGAAAGAATTGTCGATATGATTTACTACTCTTATTAGAAGTAACCTGTAAGATTTAGATTATCATGGGCATATCTTTAGAAACTTTACTCCTTTGACACCAGTGTTATCGTCTTCTTTTGTACTCGTAGTCTTTTCTTATTACAATAGTTTGTGGCTCTGCTTATTTTTTTCAGCATTATTACTTTACTAGCTTTCTAGTACCTTGCACTACCTGCCTTAGTTAGATTTATTTTTTCTAGCATTAATTTAATTTCATTTATTGGTGTACTGACTTTTGCCTATTTGCTTGCAGGTGTTCGTAGCCAGCATATTAGAGAGCTCTTATATAGATGCATGAGCTTTCCTTGAGAGTCTGAGGGGTTGAGTTTGCTTGAATGAGAGTTTTGTTGTTTGTAGAACTTGTGGAGAATTTGCACATGAACTGAATTAGTAGAAACATTTTTTATTTTCATATTTTAATTTTATTCTGAGTGCATTAATTAATTATGTTAGTTAATTAAGTTAATTTTTAATTGAAATTAAGTTTCAAATTAAAATTAATTGTTCAACTTTATTAATTGTATTAAATTTGATTTGATTATTAATTATATTAATTAATTTAAAGTTGAATTAAAATTTTAATTTGTTCAATTTTATTAGTTTAAATTTAAAATATATTTTGACATTATTTAATCATTTAAATTAATTGATTTTTTTATTAAAGGATTTATTTACTCAAATAACAGAATTTTTCTTTTATATTAAAGTTTAATTTTAAGTTATTTTTAATTAAGTTTTAAATCAAGTGTTTAATTAGATTTTGATTCAGTTCAATAATTGATTAGTTTATTGTTTTAAATTTTAATTAATATTTCATTAATTATGGAACTTGTTGGAGTACAATTTCATTTTTAATTAGATTTAAAGTTTCTGGTTTTAATTGGATTTTACATTGATTTAAAGTTCTTGGATTAATTAACTTGATTAAGTTATTAATTCTTAATTTCAGTTAATTAGGCCAATTATTTGATATATTTAAGCAAGCTGATTAGTTATATAGCTTAGTTCGATAATTATCAAAGCCACTGTTGCTTAACATTGAATTCAATTAATTCATTTAATTAAGGATTTTATCAATTAGTTAAAATTGATTTAATTATCATGTTTTTGGTTATTTAAAACAAAAAATGAATTTCTGATTTCCAGTTTAATTCTGTTTCAATTAACTATTTTAATTTTAGTTAATTTGAAAATAAAGTGGGTTTTAAATTAATTAGAGAATTTTAGGTTTAATTAAAATTTTATTTAAAGCTCTCAAATTTACTAAGTACAACGGTTTTCTTCAGAAATTTCGGCAGCATTTCGGCGTTCCCTCGTGAGGGCTGGTATGGGAGGGTACTCGCCCTTTTAGTTCGACCAGCCAGAAAGATAATCGACGGCCGAGAGCTTCGGGACGTTGTCGGGTCCCAGAAATCATGTTCTGAATCTTCAATTGACAATTCCTGATTGCCGATTGCCGATTATTAGTTCGCGATTGTTGCTGACGAATGGTAGACACGCGACACTCCGGAAAACCACCCTCAACTGACCCGGAAAGCACATCTTTGAAGGATTTAGAGTACTTACCCTCTAAAAATCCTGGATCCAGCCTCTTATTAGCCATGAAAATGCAAGCACACCGGCGAACTTACAAGCGGCGGCTAGGTTTCACGAAGAGAAACCCTAGCAGACACACCCCGAGAAAGCATCGCGTAATGATCAGGGGGCCAAATGCCCGTTTAAGTGCTCTCTGTATTCTGTTCGGCTATAGAGAGGAAATTAAGTGCTCTCTGTTGGTAGCCATTTTTCATTATCAATATTCGTTGTTAGTTTACCAAACATTACTGAACTACCACGCGAGTTCCATATGCCCGTTTAATCATAGGCTTGGAATATTTTATGCTTCTTTGGTTTAGTAAATTAACTATAGCTTTGTTTTGATATGAGAACTAATTTCATTTGATCAAAAATATATGGATTGTTTGGATATGCAACAATCAAAGTAAAGAAGACTATTTGAAATTAACACGTGTAGACTAATAAAGGAAATAATTAGCTAAAAGTAGTAATTTAGAAAAAAATAATATAATAAAGTTTTCAATTCAATATGTACAAGGAAATACAATAAAATTTTCAATTTCCGGATTGACTTATGGTGTCCAAGATGTGTTGCAGCCTGTTGCTGATCTTGCAGAGCACATTGGTACTATCAGACTTTTGAGCTACAACCTTTCATGGCACGAGGTCGAGGAGCAACGGTACGAGTCAGTGCTTGGCAGTCCTCTTTGGATGTTGCGGGGCTATGCGTGTTGGGCTCGCCATATTCTTAGATCACACTAGAGGGTTCTTAGACAGACAGGAGTTTATAGAGCCATTTATATTTCACTATTTGATTACAGTCGGCTTTCTTACTCCTGGCTTTAGGGATTAGTGGAGCATTAGAATAGTATTACCAACACCTGATGGATTGGGCCAAATGAGATGACCCTCACACTTAGGGATTTGCAGATTGTTTTAGGTTTCCCTGTATCAGGCATCCCCTATGAGGAGTGTATTCCCCAAGATTGTGACTTGTTTAGATGTCAGCCAGTTGGCTAGCCTAGGAGAGGGGAGTTTGTATATTCTGATGGCCTCCACCGGAGTTTGGTTCACTACTGTTATTTACATAGACGGAGGAGCCAACATCGTCGAGCTATAGTTACCTTGAAGGACTGGATTGGGAGCTTAATAAAATAATGCAATAAAATTTTAATATGTACAAATAAATATACTCACCTTGGATTAATGTGATTAAATATTTGATTAAAGAAGAAGAGGTCACGTGTGTCAGTTAATTTAGTTGCTAAAGATCTTGGAAGTTACTGTCAAAGTCCTATGATTAAATCACACATATATTAGAATTTTAATTTTGTACTCAATTTATAAGAAAATTAATAATAATAATAATAAGAGATGAATGATTAGTGACTTAGTGCAAAAAACTTTATTTATCTTTTCCGCCTTTGAAGAAAAATATTATGAAAAATATGATCGAACTTGATTGCAAAGCTTCAATCCATTTATTTGGATAAAAATAAACATGGTAGCATACAAGAGGAAGCATACAGGACGAACAAGAGAAACCATTGAAATTACCTTTAGAGAAAGTTTGAAAATCACTGCGGAGAAGCGCAGTTCGGCTGATATCATTGATTTAAAGGAAGAGCCTAAGGGCGGGAGATGATAAACATATTTCAAACAACATAATAAAAGAAAGATACCAAAACAATATACAAAATGAAATCTTAGTATCACATACTTATAAAGAAATTTTGTTAATGTATAAAGTGATAGATTAAAATAATAAATGAATAAAGAGCAATCCCTATAGCATCTTATGATAAGAATATCTTTGCATGTTATCATAGCCAGAGGTGAAACTAGCATTTCTTTTGAGGATGAATAAAATATAATTGTGAAATGCATAATCTTATATATGAGATAGAAAATAAAATTTTTCTTAGAAGTTGGGCAAATGCATTTATTGAATGTAGGCAAAATACTTTTCTTAAGACCAATAATCTTTTATGAATTTTAGTATTAGACAATAAAATAAAAAGAACTAAAATAAAAATATAAGTTGGTGGACGCAATTCAAAAGTAAGAATAATAAAGCGAAAAAAGGTTTAACATTTAATGAGAATCGGTAAATTAAAAATATATGCATTGTTTGGATATGCAACAATCAAAGTAAAGAAGTCTTTTTGAAATTAATATGTATTGACTAATAAAGGAAATAAGTAACTAAAAGTAGTAAGTTAGAAAAATAAAAATAATACAATAAAATTTGCAATACAATATGTATTAAGTAATATACTCACCTTAGATTAATGTAAATCTTTGACTCATGAAGAAGAGTTAATGTATGTCAGTTCATTTAGTTGATAAAGATCTTGGAAGTTGTTGTCAAGGTCCTATGATTAAATAACACATATTAAATTTGTATTTTGGTACTTAATTTATAAGAAATATAACAATAAAAAAGAGAATTGTTACTAGCTTAATTAGTTCAAAATCTTCATTTACCTTGCATTCTTTAAAGAAAAATGTTATGAAAAAATGATCAAACTTGATTGCAAAACATAATAAGTTCCCTTGCGCTAGGGTTTCTTCAACATCAGCCGTCTTGCTCTGGAGCGGCAGCGAAGATGCCTTCGTTCAAGACTTTCCGGATCAAGAAGAAGCTGGCGAAGAAGATGAGGCAGAACAGGCCCATTCCCCATTGGATTCGCATGAGAACCAATAACATCATTAGGTACAATGCTAAGCGCAGGCACTGGAGACGCACCAAGCTAGGGTTTTAAGGATACTCTCAGGTGTCGTGTCGCTGATTTGGGTTCAGGGTAACCGCACTATTTTCCCTTTTATTATTTGAATGACATGTGTTTTAGAGTTCTGTTTTGTTTTAGTTATTTATAAAAAACCTCTGATGTGTTGGAAACATTGTTAATTTTGAGTATTGAAACTGCGAACATTTGCTACGCTCTTTTATATGAATTTCGAATTGTGCTTGTTTGACCCCAAATAGCTGGGACTGAGGCTTGTAGTGATGATGATGACATTGTGGTTATATGAGTATAATTTCTCCTATTAAAAAAAAAAAGAACTTGATTGCAAAACATTAATCCATTTATTTGGATAAACATAAACATGGTAATATAATACCACTATTAAAATAATTATATACAACACATGATAGCTACAAGTCGAAGAACTAACTTCGTAAATTTATTATGAAAATAAAAGATGCAAATGTAACAATTAAAATAAAAAAAAAGTTAGAACTTTATAGTGTGTAGAAGATATTGATAACAAATTAAATTACCTTAATGCTTGTGCTCGAACATAACTTTATTTAGTTACCTCCAATATCTTGCAATTACTTAAAATATTATTATCAACATAAATGCTTAAGATGGATATTATAACTTAAAATGCTGCTTTATAAATAATTTATAAATAATAGTATCCAATTATTTTCCTATGACATGCATAGGAATTTTGTGAATGTCATTTCAAAGTTATTCAAGGCTCACACATATGTTAAAATGCGCACACTTTTTTTGTTATTTAATTATTGTGTCTTCATGCAAGATCAACAATCATCACATTTTAAAAACTTAATAATTAACAAAAATCATTTTTTAATGAGCTTTATCTATGAATTTATAAGTATATAAATTGATTTATTAAACTGTTCATATTTAAATATTCAATGCGAGAGGATGATAAACATATTTCAAGCAACATAATAAAAACAAAATACCATATGAAAACTTAGTAACACAAACTTATAAAAATTTATTTGTTGATTTATAAAGTGATAGATATAATACACAAACGATTAAAATAATAATAATAATAATAAAAGATCATTCTTCTTCGAACAAGACAAACATAATCTGGTATTAAAGTTTAAAATGAAAATATTTTTTAATTTAGGGACTTGGATCTAATCAACTCACAAAAAATGTCTCAAAATCGATAATTTTGGCTCGACTCAAACTATGTACCACTACAAGGAAGTCTGGGAGGAAAATCTCCAACAAACTTTCTGACAAAATTCATTGAAATTTCCAACAAAATTTTGGGAGTAAAATCTCGGAGTTTCAAGTAGATTTTTAATTAGATTCAAGCAATACTTTTTTCAATTTAGATTTTTTTTTGAATCGTAAGATATAGACTTCATTTGGGACAATTTTATTACTATTTGTTTTTCAGGTCGCAACAACGATTTCTATTTGACCACTGCTTTTTCGTTTCTTTTAAAATATTTTTGTACTAGAAAGTAGCTTTCTACAATAGCTTTAAAAAGTTAATTTTTTCTACCACAGTTTTACAAAGTAATAAAAAAAGTTGTCCCTAACAAAGACGTCATAGTCTCTTAACTTGGAGGTCCCTATTCCCTCATTTCAAATTTCGCCCAAGCCGTTATGATTCTTTTTTAAGAGACATCCTTTCTTCTCCTTCTCTTGCCCTTATTTTGCCAACATGTGTCTATTTCATCCAACTACCATTCTCTCATGAATGTTGCATATTTGTTATTTCTCTATCCTTTCTTATTGTAAGTTTTTTTTTTGGTTAAATTGTTAGATCCATGAAATTGTATCTGCGATTGTTTAGTGAATATATGAAATATTGTATGTAAGATTGTTCAGTGAATCTATGAAATTTAAGATTATTGTTTTACATTTTCATATATTACTTGTGATTTTCTAAGTAAATTTTATTTTTATGCTATTATTTGTCAATTAAAATTTGGATACAACAACAACATTATCATGCCTTTATCACACTATATAGGGTCGGCTACATGAATCCTTTTTCCCCCATTGCATCATGTTAAGAGTTAAATTCTCATTTAAATCTAATAAAGAAAGATCATTTCTAATATTTTCTAAGCAAGTCTTTTTAGGTCTATATCTACCATTTTTAACATAAGTCAAATCTAATACATCCACTTTTCTAGCCTGGTCGTCAGAAGGCCTCTGTATTATGTGGCCAAACATCTAAGTTGAGTCTCTCTAATCTTATCTTCCACTAGAGCTACTCCAACCTTTTCATGGATATGCTTATTTTGTATCCTAACTTTAAGAGTAAAGCCACTCATCCATCTGATCATCCTCATCTCTGCAACACTTAATAGTATGCTTCTCTTTGCATAGCCAACATTCTGCACCATAAAGTATTGCAGGTCTAACCACCATCTTATAGAATATTCTCTTAAGTTTGAGGAGGAATATGAAAACTTTGGACGATTTAAATTTATTTTCTTAAGAATATGGATAATAAATTATTATGTACTGTTTGTGGGTTCTTTTCGGGTAGCTTCGAGGTGCTATAGGATGGTCCTTGTGACGTGTTGCTGGTGTGTAGCCTCAACCGCCCTTGAGCCCGCACTTTATTGTATTTTCCTTTTCTTCTTTTTTTCTTTTTTTTTCTTTATCTCTCTCTCAAATTGTACTGTTTTCTTGATTTTTATTAATATAATTTTCTGTTAAAAAAAAAAACTATTATTCATTGATAAATTTAGCAAAAATAATTATAAAAATAGTTTAGTAGTTCATAAAAAAAGACTGAACACATTAATGGTTGGAATAACTTTCACAGCTTAATCAAACATTGTTTGAAAAGAGATTTATTTTATATTTTTATATTTGTTAATTATTAAATATTTCATTCTATATATTTATTTGAACTAATTATATAGTGTGTGGATATTAGAAATTGTTCAGTGATTCTACTTGCATCATAAAGGTTGAAGAAACTTCAAGCACCCAGTCTTCATGGAAGTCCTCTATGAAATCCTCCATGAAAATAGGTAATTAGCTACCATCAAAATTGGTTGATAAAATTTAGGCTTCGTTTGGGACGGTTTTTTTTCTGCTTCTCAAAGCAGTTTTTTAGTACAAAATTTTTTTAAAAAAATTTGTACTAAAAAGCAACCTTAAGAAGCAGAAAGAAAGCCTTCCCAAACGAAACCTTAATTTTGGTCGCTTTCGCTAAAGCGAATAGTGACCCTGAAAATTGAGGTTTTTAGTTCGTCACAGTAGCCTCGCTGCTGAGGCTTTTTGAGCCCAAAAGGTTTTTTTTTGCAGCAAAATTAGTGACCAATAATTAACATAGGTTGCTAGTGTTGGTCATATTAGCGACCATTATTTTGATGCTAATGAATATTTATTTGAATGTTATTTAGTGATTTTAGTTGCTTATTTCATTGATTAGATTTTCACTATAGCGACAAAAACAATTTTTTTTTTGGCTAAAATTTTGTGTGGCGTTCATGTTGATGCATATCTATTTTGATGATATTTAATAAAATTTGTTGCTAAGCCCATTATTATTATAATGCCTTGGGTTAAATTTACTAAAATTAATCTGTCGCTCCATGTTATCGTAGCATCAAAATGTTTCTCACTAATTTGCAGAATAAATATTACAATAGAAACAACAACAATAACAACATGCTTTTATCTTACTGTATGGGGTCAGCTAAACTATTATAACACAGAAACAACACAAATTTAATTACCTTCACTACAAGGAAAACACCCAGTTCCGGCGGAAAAAAATCTGTCAGAAATTCCGACAGATTTTTCGGCGAATTTTCGACGGAATATTTCCGACGAATTTTTCGCAGGTGTTGGCAGCATCAGACGCTCCTGCTTAAAGGCCCGTGGGTTGGCCTAGTTTAAAGACCAGCGGTGATGGAAGCTAGCCCGTCGGATTGAGCAATTTCTAAGATTTTCTTTTTATTTTTTTCTAAGGAATTTCCGACGAATTTTCGCAGCAAAAATCCACAGGAAATATTTTACATTCATTCCTCAACGTAATTGATAAGGATTTGCTAGATAATTACAAATTATGCAAAGACCAGTTAAAAAAGTAACAAATTATAGTATCATTTCACAGAAATAAAAGTAGACTTCATAGAAATAATAATAGAAAGTATTCACATAGTAATAATATTTAAAATCACTTGTAAAAAGAAACACAAAATACTAATCTCGAGCAGGTGAGGGGGCGAGCGCGACTACACAAGAGCAGGTGCGAGGCTGCCAACACGAGCGTGGGATGAGGGGCGATCGAGCACGGGGTGAGGCAGGAAAGCATGATGCGGTGCGAGACTATGGGTTACGGGACGTAAGTCTAATTTGGGTCATTTTCCGATTAGCGTGTTGACTCAAACAAGGCCTGATTTTTCAAATGGGTCAGGAATTAGGACCCGAACCCAACTCATTTGTTAAACGGGTTGACCCAAAACTGAATATTTCGGGTCAGATAAAAAATTAACACCCCGAAATTTTTTTTTTTGAATTACTGTTCACCAGACCGTGACAGGAATATTTGATCTCCAAACCTCTGCGAAACTATAAAAAGTTTTGCATGCATAAAAATCATATAAACAAAAGAACAAACTAGCAAGTGCTTCATCCATTTTACATAAATTATCAAGTTAAATAGTAAATTGCATAATACACTCTCTATTTCTTACTTATATTGTTCATTCTAATTACAGAAGGTTGGATTCCTGACATTTGAAAAAATAAATCATAAATATGGCATGCAAATCATAGAAAAAACATAACAAATTTGGTAAACTTATCAAGTGAGATCATAAGTTGCAGATTACTAGATGGCTCCAAAATAATCAAAACACAGAATTTGTGCCATATTAAGGTTTCACTTGGGACAACTTTCATAATTATTTTTTTTAAAAGCAGTGTTTTAGTAAAAAATTTATTTGAGCTATAATTTTTTGAACTAGAAAACTACCTTAAAAACATGAAGGAAGTTATCCCAA